CACTCATCATCCTCTCAGTAAATGAATAGATTTACTGAGTTTCTGGTTTGCAATTACTGTTTAACAGATATGTTAAGAAAATTTATTAGTTATTAACAATGAAAAATTTTACAAGTACACATTAACTGAAAATACCATTGAGTAAGATATATCTATATGGGGAGGATATAAGCTAATTTTCCATTTTAAGTTGTTGGATCATTACAGACTCTTTAACATTTTTGCATAGTTGTGGTAAACTAGTAAACTATTATCCCTGGTAGATATAATGAATTAGAATTTTTAACCACTATGTACTAGACATTTGTGCTTGCATTTCAGATCCTTGCAAAGTAACCGAAAACTAAACTTTGTCTTGAAAATGCAGGGACCTACAAGGAAGAGCTATTCAAGTATTTATGATGACCAAATGGTCCAAGATGATCTAACATGGATATAACTATGACCCAATTTCTCAGAGTAGGAAAAAGCAAAAAGATTTTTTTTGTCTTTTGAAATTTTTCCAGTTACATAAACAGTCAAGATTTCCTGAAATTCAAAGTGACCCAATCACTGTTTCTTGCAGAAGAATAGAATTTTTCTTCACAAATATATTACTGATATTATTTGATACAAAAGTCTGTGTATAATCCAGAATGTTCCCTGTATATTGTGGGAAAATTACAAACTACAATCAAGTGATTAATGATAAGGCTTCTATTTTTTTCATTTTTTTTTCTTTTTTATTCTGAGAAAACTGCACAACACGGCATGTTTTTTGGGGTTTTTTACTTTTTTTTCTTAACATATTTCTTTTTGGCCATCTGCAATGAACGAATAAGGAAAATATGCATACAGCTGAGTGTTTCTTGTGAAAAAAATCTCATAACATTCCATAAATAACCAAAACCATTAAAATAGTAATATTTCATGAGTCATTTTTTTAATACATCTAGACTTAGTCTTTATCTAGAACAAATCTGAGAAACTAGTACATGGAGAAAACGATGTGATATGTTTGTTTAAAATCACCACTCTCTGTAGTAAATATGCCAGAGATTTCCTTTAAATGCATCTAAATATACTAGATAAAATATTCAAATAGCATTTTTGTCTGGTTTTGTCTCTAATTTTTATGAAGACAAGAAAAAAAAGCAAATGTGCACCAAGTCCCCCTTTTATCACGCTCTTTTTTTGTTTAGTCTTACAAGCGATGTGTCACTATCACTGCACCTTTCAGATCATCTCCCAACTGAAAGCAATGAAATGACTGAAATCCAGCTATGTGCAGAAAAATTACTGTATTGCCATAGTTATACTATGGGTGTGCCCTTCATACGTGTTTGGTTCATAGAGAGAATCACTATGTGTGTATTAAGTACACTAAGTGTCCTGTACTAAAAGATATGCTTAAAATTCTCCAAAATGAGAATTACATTAGGCAATGCTGCATCTAGGTCTTGATCCCCCAACAAGAAGAAAGACATTGACCTATTGGAATGAGTCCAGAGGAGGGCCATGAGCTTGATCATAGGGTGGGAGCACCTCTCACAGGCTGAGAGCTGGAGCTGTTCAGCGTGGAGAAGAGAAGGCTGCAGAGAGACCATATAGCACCTTCCAGTACCTAAAGGGGGCTTACAAGAAGTCTGGAGAGGGAATTTTTACAAGAACATGTAGTGATAGGACAAAAGAGAATGGCCTTAAGCCAAAGAAGGGTAAGTTTAGATTAGATATAAGGAAGAAATTAATTACTATGAGGGTAATGAGGCAGTGGAACAGGTTGCCCAGAGAAGCTGTGGATGCCCCATCCCTGGAAGTATTGAAGACCAGGTTGGATGGGGTTCTGTGTAACCTGGTCTAGTGTAAGGTTCTCTACCCATGGCAGAGGGGTTGGAACGAGATGATCTTTAAGGTCCCTTAAAACCCAAACCCTTCTCTGATTTTATGATTCTATGATAATCAATTTGTTCATGAAAAAGTGTAGTACAGTCATCACTCCATAACACTGTGAAGTTCTTACCATGGAAAACTCAAAAGATTCCATTTTACATAATTATCTAATGATAAGGTAAAGAAACTGAGCAAATGAAAATTTTCATTCATATTCCATATCTAGGCAAAAGAGAAGTTAATCAGTCCATAGAGTCTATGATTTCCATTCATCTTCAAAAAATGATCAATTAAGCTATAGCAGAGTTTAACATTTTCAGAAAGTCCGATCACCTTCACAAGTTAAAACTCAACAAAAGACAAATTTCACTTGCAAAAGATTGTACTGAAAATTTCAATAGACCTAATGAAAACTGAAGAACAAAAGTGACAAAAGTGTCTTTGAAGGTGATTTATTGTAGCCACTTCATCCAGTCTTTGCATTAATGGTTTTGTTGTGATTTGCAGTGTCTGCTTTGTAACAAGAAAAGAGATGCATGATTAATGTCTGTAACATTAAGAAAATCATCTCACAACAAAAAGATGTAAGAAAACATTGTAACCTATAAAGTGCAGAGAAAGAAGAAAATATTGTATTTTAAATTTGATTTCTTATTTAAGACTAAGTTCCATCTGCCTGATATTACAAATGCTGTTTCTTTTTCAAGATTCTACAAGAAATCTGTTTCCAAGGTGAACAGTTATTTGTTCTCCACTATAACAGGTTGCTCAAGACCTTATCCAACCTGGTCTTGAACACTACCAGGGTGGGGGCATCCACAACATCCATGGGCAACCTGTTCCAGTACCTCAACACCCTCACAGTAAAGAATTTCTTCCTAATATCCTACCTAAATTTCCCCTAAATTTCCTCTCTTTCAATTTGTACCCGTTATTCTTTGTCCTATTACTACAGACATTCCTTGTCCTTAACACAATCAAAAACCTTTTTGTTGTATTTTTTTCCCTTTATTATGCTGATGAAGTGAGAGATATAGAGCTGCTTAGTGGGTACTTGGCAGCCAGCCAAGCTCAATCCACTGTAGATACTTCATCATATAATAAAAAAATTCAAGACTCAAATCTAAATCCCCAGTTCTAAGACAGTGAAACAGCTTGTATTATGTTGATATTAAGAAATTGGAAAAAAATCTATCTTTTGAGATCAACTTGACTAATATTTGAATCCATTTCAATCTACCCTAATGTTTTAAAATTTTCAATATTTTTCTTTCTGAAAGGTTTTTTTTCTGTTAGACAATTACAAAACAGAACAAAACAAAAAGCTGCAGTGTCATATCTGTTGTAATCTCATATTCAGCTAAGCAAATTATCTCATCTCTCAAGAAACAAGAAATTATTGTCTAGAAGTGTTGAGTGGCTTTTGCTTAGTAGTGTACCGTGTTTGCAATAAGATGTATTTTCTTCTTATGTTGATAAAACATAAAAATAAACAATTGTGAAATAGTAAATTTAACTACAAAGTAGTTCTTATCAAGAAAACTCTTCTTCCTGTAGGCAAAAATTTATGCTGGCCCACTTTTCCATTGTTATTAAAAAAAATCTGAAATTTATAGTGGCATTTAGGTTCAACACCTAGGTCAAAATATAAACACTGATAAACACTGACTTGAAACATTCTGGTAATTCTCCTGTAAATTTTTGCCTGCAAATGAGATTGAATTCTCTAAAACTTGAAACTTTTTCCCTGTTTATTTTCCCCTACATGCAATTTTTTTTAAAAAATACATAACTGAGTTTTAGCATTTCTTGTGCTCATGTTCCTAGTATAGAATATTGAAAAAAAGAATTACTGTTGGAGCAGGCAGGTAGCTCTGCCTGTTTCCCTGAAGGAATTATTTTATAGGGATAATTCATTAAAGGTTAATCTTTATTAGAAGTTTGCTAATTTTCTCTCCATGGGTAATAAGAACGAAATAGTACCTGGCCTATTCTCTGAAAAACATTTAATTTGAAAAGATCTAGGATGCAAGTTTAATATTCTTACTTTTAACAAAGAGTGTTTTTCATAGTACAACGACCTTCATGTGAATCATTAGTTCCTTTAAATAATTCCAGCAACTAATTGTAGATAGCGATGAATCCCAACACCAATGTCTTAACGTGAAAAAGGCTGGGGCTTTTTGTTTGTTTCTATCTATGCTGTTTTAATTTCATGGCAGGCATCCTACTCTTTTAACTCAGTAAAAGGCCTAAGTCACAACTAATAAGATCAGGAAAAGATTTCTTTTTTACTTAATCCCCACTAGAAACGAATATGTGTGATTGAAATGTTCTCTTTATTTCCGTCATTTAACCATTCTGTTCACATGGAACACTGACATCATTATTTGTGACAAAAAGGATATTTCAAAATAAAGTTATTTAGACTATATTCAGAAAGAAACTGTGAGTCATACAGCTTTACATTACCAAGGGACGTCAACTTCAGTTATTGTGTTTATCCCAAGATTAGTTGTTCATTGATTTAATTTTTTTTAACCAACAAGTGAAATACAGATTTCACTAACTTTCAAAGTTAGTGAAATCTGTCTTTTAGCTATTACAAGGCTGTCAGAATGCACATGACGATGAGAAAACATTAATCTCTGAACCAATGTTGATGGTGTACAAACTAAAATAAATTATAACAGGGCATCTTTACTGGGTCTTGTTTTAGCAAAAAAAACCAAAGACATATAGTGGTCAAATATCAAGATTATTTTATGAGAAATTAGAGATCCACATAATGGCTAATCCAGGTGCATGGGTTAGAATTATGGGTAATGTATGACCTCTATTCAAAATAGGTGTATATGATCATTGGCATAGTTAAACAATGTATAGTCCCTGCACATATAGTCAGTGTGTATTTATTCTTATATATATATAGTGTATTATCTTATTTTCTCGAAATATTACACCCACTTATTTAGCAACTGTAGCTTTATTAATAACAGAAAAATATTAGAGTGTATTGCACGGGGGATCTCTGAAAGTTCAGTCTTCATTCCAGGCTTGTTTGCAGTTAGTGGTGCAAAAATCTTCACCGTGCACAAGATTCTAGAAGAATACCAGTGAACTTGGAAGTAGGGAAACTTGCCATGGCCCGGAGAATAGGTATCATCCTTGTTTACAAAGTTATTGAAGTCAATGTACTTGAAGGCAAGAGAAAAAGGAAAAAATCACGACTCTGACATAATGAATTCATGTAATAGCTAGATACATACTGACTCTTCAGTCATATATATGTATATTTGTTATGTATCATACACATATAGTAAATAAGCAAATCTTATAGCAAATATTGAGGTTCATCAAGGAAAAAAAACTCTGCTTCCAATAAAAGACAAGCATCTAGAATTTGGAACTGATATTAAAGCTGGTGTTGTTATTAGTCACTGTTCTTGTAGAAAAAAATATTATATACTAAGTAAACTGGGAAGAACAGGGTGACTTTAATAGATAGAAAGTGGTGTGAAAGCTGGATAATCTATCTCAAAAATGTCAAAAACAAGTAAACTTTACCTGCAAAGCAGGAAAAAGAGAATGTTTTCATGTCTGTCACATAAATACAAAAAATATTTAAATAAAGAAGTCCTAATTTTTCTTTTTTTGAGTAAGGATCTCAAAGTGAAAAAGGAATTTAATAGGAAGGTAACACTACCTTCATAACTAGAGATCTTTAATATTAGTTTTGATTAATATGTGAGATACAAAAATGTATTAGATATTTGCTTTCAAACCTGTTTTCTGGTGTTCTGGTGTTACAGTAGCCCTCCTGTAACAGATTCAAGGACAAGTTCAGACAAGTACCACAAACAGTAGTGCATTCTAATAAATTAGAATATCAGAAATATATATAGAAAGTTTCGGAGTAGCACGTAGGCAAGAAAAAAAATTATGAGCAGGTTAAGGCAATAATTGGATTGACTTTGCCTTAGTATACACTCATAGATTCTTCAAAGACGAAGAAGCTTTGAAAGAAGATGTGGAGCATATACAGACAATGATGGCATTGGGGAAGAGAAAAATTAAATTACATTAAGTGAGAATGATAAATAAAATTAAACAATATCATACCAGGAAATCCTATTAGAATAGATTTTCTCAAATGAAAGTCAGTCGGGATAGCAAGGTCTGGCATGCTTGCTCCAACTGGTCCTTATGTGACAGAGGAAGGACCTGTAAATACTCTGAACCAAAGGGATTCCAAAGGTTGTAGTTTGGTCAGTGATTAATCTTGGAATCAGGAAATCTGTATCCTCTTCTCCCATCTCCTTACAAAAAGGAAATGTACTTACATGGTCTCATAGCTGATTGCTTGTGGATTTGATGTAAGGTAGCACTGCCTTACAGGTTTGGAGAGCACTGCCTTACACTGCCAAAGGTTTGGAGAGCATTTTGGAACAATGGGTTGTCACAGAACTGCCAGTGGCAGGTACATGCCTTCTGTTACAGTGACACAAATTAACCCATGGTGGTTTTGGAGTACTGGAGTTTATTGAAGAACCACTGATATTAGAGCTTAATAAAGACCCTACTTGATTACTTCACATGCTTACTCACTCACCTAGCTTGCAAAAAGGGAGTCTGAAATCATAAAGATGTGCTTTTAGAAGAGCTAGGTGTCACTTAATGGAATCTAAATTATTCAGTCCTTTACTCAGAAGTAGTGTTACAATATATTTTTCAAAAGACAGTTCAAATCAATGAAAAAAACCAGAATGGAATAATTTTAAATCCTGACTAGATGGCATGGTTCAGCTCCAGGTTGTAGTATCTAAATACAGAAGCATACAGAGGGGTGCTCAATGAGAGCAAGTTGTTCAAATTCACCTTCACAACTTCATTTTTGTCAGTGAAAATCTAGAGCTCTATGAAATGACTTAAACATAGGCAGCTGCTCCAGAGTATCTGAGACAAGCACACCAGGCTATGAGAATAACACAGAATTTATGAAATATCCATTGTCATATTTTGCTACTGCTCAAGGCCAGAAGGAATATCTTAGAGAAACTGAAATTACATTAGATATCTGTATTTATGCAAATAAACACCACTCTAAGAGTAAAATTCAGTTGTATCCATTTAAGTATCTAGTGTCATTTGAGATACCTTGGGCTACCAAAAACATGGTACTGGAAACCAACATATTTCTAGAATAACAGCTGGAGTGTTTACATACTTGGATGTGGTAAGCTTATTTTTATTCAAACTCGAGTACATGAGAGCCTTGCCCGAGATGTGTGATTCATAGATTCAAGTATCTTTTATCTCAGAACAGATTCAAACATGCATCTTTCTCTAACCTGCAAATTATTTTCAGTGACAGCATCCTCCACTTATGTTGAACCTGTGCAATTTAGTTTAAACCTTTTTGGACCGTATATGACCACCAAAAAAAAGAAGCATTGTGGTACAGTTTAACAATTAAATTACTTTCTGTGCTGGTTTTGGCTGGTACTGAGTTAATTTTCCTCATAGTAGCTGGTATGGGGTTATGTTTTGGATTTGTGTTGGAAACAGAGTTGATAATAGAGACATTTCCATTACTGCTGAGCAGTGCTTCTACAGAGTTAAGGCCTTTTCTGACTCTCACAGCACCTCACCCAGTAATCTTGGGATGCACAAATAGTTGTGAGGAAATAAAGCCAGGACAGTTGACCTCAACTGACCAAAGGGATGTCCTGTACTGTATGGCATCATGTTCAGTCTATAAACTGGGGGAAAGGAGGAAGGGGGGGAACGTTCAGAGTGATGCCGTTTGCTTCCCAAGTAACTATTACATATGTTGGAGCTCTGCTTTCCTGGAGATGGCTGAACACTCGCCTGTTGGTGGGAAGTGGAGAATGAACTCCTTGTTCTGCTTTGCTTCTGTTCACGGCTTTTGCTGTACCTATTAAACTTTCTTTACCTCAATCCATGACTTTTCTCGCTTCTACCCTTCCAGTTCTCTTTCCCATCCCACTGGGGCAGTGAGTGAATGACTGTGTAGTGCTTAGTTGCCAGCTGGGCTTAAACTACAACACAAAAAGGTTCAGGTTTTCATCTTCTGAAATGTGGTTTTACATTCCACGATGTTATTTTGGATTTAAGGCCAAATATTATTAACAGTGTAGCCAGTGTCACTGTTTGCAAAATAATATCCTATTGAATAAAACATGATTAAAATCCAACTCAAAGGGTTGTATTTCAGCTTTCACTGAATAATATAATCCTTCCTTCCAATACCAAAATCAGGAAATGGGGTAAAAACAGCATCACTGTAACTCCATACATTTTCAAATTACCAATTTCAAATTATTTTTATGTAAGTGTAACACAAACAAACTTGAAAAACATAATGGATGGTACTGTTGAAAATATACTGTTCTCTCTTTTTCTCCTATAAAATCAGAAAATAATTAGATTATCACAATTAAAGGATTAAAAATTATCCTTCTGAATGTTAAAGTGTGAAAATTCTGTAAAAATGCAAAAAAATGACACTTGTATTATTTCATGGTTATAGTCTGAATTTTTTGATGTTTGTCAAAACATATTTTCAGAGATTACAGCAGAAGTGACACTATGTAGCTAAACTGTTTAGCTTCAGTTCATCAATAACATCAGTCATCATTATCTAAGGACAGGGCTTAAATGTTTTTATAAATAGGAATTATGGTGAGATTTTGGTGGAAATTTCCATGAGAGTTCTGAATGAATTAGTAATGATCACTATTAACACAGTGAATACCAAATATGTTGAAAATGATGGGACACTTGAAACGAAATAGAGAAACAATAAAATAAATTCTGACATTATGAATTCATGTGGTGCTAATCCTAATAGCATGATCATAGTTAATTCATTTCATATTTTCATGGGTGCAATACGCATATATTCTGATGGAGATGCAACATAAGTATCAAAACATAGTTAGTGTCAATGTCTTGCTTTGTTTACATCAAAGAACACTAAATATTTTGAAAAGTGATTATTTCAATATATAAACTGGTTTTTGGTAAATGAAATAAAATGCTGTTTGCCTTTAACAACAAATCAAAATGAAATAAAAGGAAAGAAAACAAAACCAAAAAAAAACAGAAGAAAAGGAACTACCATTCACACTCACATAATGCTATTGTTTTCTGGCCTCTGCTAGCTGAGGGATCACACTCCTGCTGTTCACAACGTGGAACAGTATAATGAATTTGAGTGGGATAAGTTACTGAAGAAATTAACATAATTTGTTGCTTTGAATATCAAAAAGAAACTAGCTGCATACAGAAGGAATAAAAGTACTAAATGGTAATGAAACTAAAAGTATTATCACCTTAATATACTTATGATAGGAAAAAAACTAGTTAACATGGAAGAAAAAAAAAAGTAGCCCCATAATCTATGGTAGATTTAAAAATAATTCACATAGGTTAAATTTACTTTCATCTTCCTTTGAAGATGATAGACAATATTGGATAAAGTCCTCATGTAAGCTCAAGATATCATGCATCCCAGTGTAGCCAGAATGGGAAGTAGAATGGGAAGAAAGTCAATCTGAGGCAAGGTGTTCTGGAGCCAGGACTATTTACAGTGAAGCAGTAGATCTTGATGCACAAGAGGGTTTCCTGGGGCAGAGAATCACCATGAAGTGGGGAGATAGTGAGGTGCCAGGAGCTTTTGTGGGAGCCTGGGAATTATGGCCACCCCCACAACTGCATGTAGTTTTGGGAACACAAGTGAGCAGGAACACTGTGATCAGAGCAGGCAAACAGGACATGGGGTGTCAGTGAGGTCACAGTGCAGCAATCAGACGGCAGTTCACACGGAAGGGCACACACAGTGTTGTTACCCTATCAGCTCGAGGTGAGTTCAACTTGTGGTCATCATCCTCTCAGAAGGAGCTTAGTTATGGTATCCACCTGACAGAAATCTATGACCTCTGCATCTGCCTGAAAGGATGTGGCAACCCAGACAGAGTTTCCATGAAAACATGCAGCTGTCCAGGTCTAAGGCGCAGAGAGTGCCAGAGTTTTTACTAGTACCTGATGGCAGTAGTGAGAACAACTGTGTGAGGCGTGAGCAAGTGGCCAACTTGTTCAGTCTCATGGTAGAACTATGAGAGGAAGTACAAAGCTTAAGGAATATCAGGGAATCTGAGAAAGAGAGAGATGGGTGGAACCATGCTCTGCCCTCCTTGAGACAGAAACAGGAACAGCCACCAGAAAATAAAAACAAATCAAGGGAGATCCTGTATCCTTCCCTTGCCAGAAGATAGTAGCTCAAAAAAAAGGTATGAATGGAGACAAGTCCTTGATCAGGGTGGCAGGCAAACCTCCTCAATGCCTACCTTGCTGTCAAGGGAAGTCCAGGGTGGTGAGGGAATTTGGTGGGGCTTTATAAGGCTTAAGCTAGGTGAGAAAACTCCCAATACCTTCCCTAGACTGGGGAATTTTACACTGGATGATGTAATGCTGAATTGCAGGACATTTCAGGAGTCTTTGACACCTCCTACGATGCTACAGCTGCCTTTTACATCAGCACACATTATATTTTTTTGATTGGAACCTGCTGATAGAAGCAACATACACTTTTATTTCATAAATTGCAGTAAAAGTAATGTCTTAGATATTCACTATAGATTTTAAGATAAATTATGCTTCAAAATTGTTTTGATTACGTGTGATTATTAAAATTTTCTAACATTTTCTTTTTATTTCATTCTTTTCTGTACCAGGATATATTCGATGAGCCTCATGGCCACTAGAAAATTACATGCAACTTGATGTTCAATTCACTAACATAGCAAAAATTTTGAACTCCTAAGTAACAGCCTGTATATTTTCATCTTTCTTCTGAAGTGGAGTTAGTATTGGTAAGGCTTTTAGCATTTAATTTTTCTACCCACTTGCTGCACAGCATGTTTTCACTGCTAGAGAAAGTTTGCTTGATTAGATGTTTTTACTGACGTGTTAGGGTATCTGGGATGAGGCTAAATCCATTGTATGTATTTTCAAAATTTCTTTCAGATAATCTCTTCCTTAATTTTGAATCCATGTCTTTTAACAGTCTTGCTCTTTAAAGTAAGTGTAACACAGTTAGAATACCTCAGGGAAAGTAGAAGGAATAAAATTTTATATAAAAAAAGACATTTGTTCTGCAAAGCTGCAATTTTTTTCAGATAATTACTGTGTGTAGACTTAAAAATAACACCAGTTTACCATTTGAACAGATGAGGTAAATAATTTGGAACTTGTTAAAAGTAATTAGATTTACCATTTTTATTCTGTTTTGTAGTGATTATTCCAGTAAAAGAGATTTAACTAGATGTCAATTAAAGGTCAATTCTTGCTATGAATGAATTCAATGTAAGTTTAAGCCTTGATTCATCAGGACTAGCATTTAATTTTAAATATTGCCAGAAGGTAAGCCTAGCAGGGTAAAGCAACAACAGTTTTAAAGTGAGTTGATATTTTCTACTGAACATGAATTTTGGGTATATTGTAAAAAAATTGATTTAAACTACTGAACTCTGCAGAAGTGCTATAGCATTCGGTAATAACAATAATAATTAAAAAGAAATACCTCAACCACAACTATATTTAGTCTTGTTTCTGTAAGCATCATATTCCCATATTGAAAAGTTAAAGAAATCACTACAAACACGTTGGCACTGGAGTTCAGCTAAAAGGTTAATTCCTACCTTGTAATATTTAGGACAAACTCTGCAAATGGAAGCAGGTCTAATGTTAACTCCTCCAAAATAGCAACACAGATGTGTTACCAAAATATCATTTGTATACTGGGCAAACACAGTATTTGCACACATTACATGTGCACACAATCTACAGGCAGATGTTGGAGGAAAGATTGGACACCTAAGTGTGAGGTCAGGAGTGTACCCTAAGCTGCTTACCAGTGCAGTCCTACATGGTATATTTCGGTTGTTTTGGTTGTTAATCTTGTGTATAAAATGGTTTGTTAGTTTTTTTTTCATTTCTTAAAAGTCTCTAACATGATGATAGAGTCATGAAAGTGTTTTCCAGAAGTGGTAATTTCTGCACTGGATAGTCTAAACCTTCAGTGAAGTGAGCAATGGAAAAACAAAAAACAAAACAAAATAAAGCAAAAGAACCTCAAACAAACCAAAAAGGAAAAAAAAAATAAAAATAATTTTTCCTCATACACCCACATGCATAAATGAAGACTAGAATTATGGAACAGAGACATGAAAACATTTGAAAAATTAGCATTAAAGTGTGAGAAAAAATTAGCCTGTTTAGTGTAGTGTTAGTGTGACATTCAGCTAAAAACATAAACTCCTGCTCTGCTGGGTGGGTGGTCTAAATAAAAACCAAAATAGGAAAACTAATGTTCCACAAATAATGATGTGCAGAGAGAAAGAAAACGTATAACTAAATGCTATACTACTTTCTGTTTCTCCCCAAGTTTCAAAGAAGTGCATGGCAAATCTTTTTATCATGATCTTTCTCATAATCCCAAATACAACATTTCTAAAGAACTGAAAAATGCACTCTAGCTGCCTAATCTTCCTCCTAGAACAGGAAAAGAACCATTAGTGTAAGTAATGTTTACCTTCCCTCTCTCTTCTCAGAGGAGTTTTATTCTTTGTCAAGACTTTTTTTATTATTTATTTTGCAGTAACTACTATCTAGAGCTTACAGGTACATAATACCAGTTTTCATTTACTCTTTATAAGCTACATTGTATAGTTTTCAAGTATTTATGCACTTTTTTGAATGTGTAGGAGTTCAAGAAATATATTGGCTCATGAGTTGGCTGTCAGCTATATCTGAAGCTCCCAAAAATACTTATATTCACTACTGAAAGCTGTTTCAATGAATGTCTTTCTAAAATAGAAATTTGAATCAATTTCATGAAAATATATTTTAGTACTGTGATACATGTCAAGACTCGTAATACAAATAATATGTTTCTTCTATTCTAATATATTTATTACTTTTTGTCATGATTATGTCTTTACCTGCAACAGAAGTTGTAGAAGTAAGTTAATTTTCTCATAAAAAATGAAGTTTGTTTAAGCTTCTCTTCTATATGACCTGCTCGAGGCAAAATACTTATCTTTACTAGCTGTGGTAAGCAATTAATTGCACTACCTGCTACTTAAAGTAAGGTATTTTGATGAAGAACAATTAATAGTAAAGAGTACATTTCAGAAATAATTCAAAGGAGTTCAGTCTCCTATAGGAAACAATGCAAGCTACATTAATTTTTGGGAAGGGCTAGGATAGGATAAGGCTAGGATAGGATAGCTCTGCCACCTTTTTACTGTGAGCTCCACATCATCTGGCAAACTGCTGATGAACCGCTTTTCTGTACAGCTGCTGGTTGCAGTCAATTCTGCTCTATCAAGCACATGGATAATATTTAACAAAATACCAAAAAATCTGATTTGGGTAAAACATAAAATTTGGATGTTTAGGAACTTTACTGTATCAGGACCAGAATCATGACTGACTTATGGGACTAAACAATATTATTTGTCACAGAAAGTCTGAAATTGCAAAAAGGGAGTTTGTGTCTTATATTCGTAGAATCATAGAATGGTTTGGGTTGGAAGGCACCTTAAAGATCATGTAGTTCCAACCCCTTTGCCATGGAAAGGGACACCTTTTTTTAGACTGGGTTGCTCAGACCTACATACAGCCTAACCTTAGAACACCTTCAGAGATAGGATATCCACAACTTTTCTGGGCAACCTGTTCAAGTGCCTCATCACGCTCACAATTTCTTCCTAATATCTAATCTAAATCTACTCTCTTTTAGCTTTAATCCATTCCCCCTTGTCCTATCACTTCATGCTCTTGAAAAAAAGTCCCTCTCCACCTTTCTTATAGACTCCCTTCGGGTACTGGAAGATCCCAGTTAGGTCACTGCTAAGCAATCTCTTTTCCAGGTTGAACAAATCCAGTTCTCTTAGCCTTTTCTCATAGAAGAGATGTTCCATTCTTCTAATCATCTTGATTCCCTTCCTCTGGACTTCCTCCAACAGGTCAATGTCCGTCCTGTGCTGGGGACCCAAGAGCTGGATGCAGCACTCCAGGTGGGGTCTCACCAGAGCAGAGCAGAGTCGGAGAATCACCTCCCTTGACTTACTGACCACACTTTTTTGACTCAGCCCAGGATACAATTGTCTCATGTCCAGCCTCTCAACCACCAGCATTCCCAAGTCCTTCTGAGCAGGGCTGCTCTCAATCTGTTCATCCCCCAGCCTGAATTGATACTGGGTGTTAGTCTGACCCAGGTGCAGCACCTTGCATTTGGTCTTATTAAACCTCTAAGATTCTTGTGGGACCACTCCTTGAGCTTGTTCAGGTTCCTCTGGACGGCATTCTGTTCTGCAGGTGTACCAACAGCACTGCTCAGCTCTATAAATTTGCTGAGGGTGCACTCGATCCCTTCATCTTTGCAATTAATGAAGATGTTAAATAACACTGGTCTCAATACAGATCTCTGATGAACACCACTTGTCGTTGATGTCCTTCATCAGGACTCTGAGCCATTGACCACTGCCCTCTAGATGCAACCAATTTCTTATTCATCTAACAGTCCTCTCATCATATCCTTCTCTCTCCAATTTAAAGAGAAGGATATTTTGGAGGCCGATGTCAAAGGCTTTACAGAAGTCCAGGCAAATGCTATCTGTAACCCTACCCTTGATCACTGATGCAGTTACTCCATCCTAGAAGATCACTAAGTTGGTCAAGCGGAACTTGCCCTTGATAAAGCTGTGCTGGCTTTCTCAAATCACCTCCCTGTTCCCCATGTGCCTTAGCATAGCTTCTAGGAGGATCTGTTCCATGATCCTCCCAGGCACAGAGGTGAGCCTGACAGGTCAGTAGTTTCCAGGTTCCTCCTTTCTGTCCTTTTTAGAAAGAGATGCAAAGTTTCTCCTTTTTCAGTCACCAAGAACTTCACCTGACTGCTGTGACATTTAAAATATCATGGAAAGTGGCTGGTCAACTATATCAGCCAATTCCTTCAGGACTCTGGGATGCATTTCATCAGGTGTCATAGACATATGTACATTCAGGTTCCTCAGGGGGTCACAAACCTCACCTTTTTTTACAGTGGGAGTGACTTTGCTCCCCTAGTCCCAGTCCTGCAGTCCATCCACTTGAGAGGTATGGGAAGAAAGTTTGCAATTGAAGACTGAGGCAAAACATTTGTTGAGCACCTCAGCCTCCTCCTCATCCATTGTTACCAGTTTTGCAGTACTGTTTTTTTGTTTGTTTTTTTTTTTGGGGGGTGCACCTTCTTTGACCTTCCTTATAATTTATTTAATGTGATCAGCACCAGCAGCTTTTGCATTCAGAATAGGATCAGTTGGAAATTGTTTGGTGTGCTCTTTATCAAATCTATTCCAATGGTCTTTTGTTTTCTAAATCACAACTGGTTTAATGGCTATATTTTAAAAAAGTATGTTCTACGTTTATCATCTGAGGGACAAAATGAAAGAAGATTGCAGATAAATAAAGATTATCAGATATTGTACACAGTATATATCAGTTGAAGAAACTATATCTTTGTATCCATCTAAAAGGAAATATAATTTTATACTCATTTGCTATTAACATTTAGATTGAAATTCTAGCAATTAAAAAAGCCAAAGTAAAGTCAAATTATGTTTTACAGCTGTATATAGCCTTCCATGGAGATATAAAGAAAACTAAATCTATGGGTTTGTAATTTTGCTATCTGAGGGTGCTGTCATTTTGAAGAGATGACGATAAGTGTCATAGGACTGAGCATTTATTTGTTTTGTGAGAATCTTATAAGCTTCCGTTTATTTATCAGCACAGTGAATTCCCAAATAGGCTGAGTCTGACAGAC